CTCCCTCAACAGTCGGAGGAACGGAGACGGCGCACAGCAATGGCAAAGGAAAAACAGCGGCGGCCACTCCACCAGGTGCGGGCCCCATGCGCCGCGCACGCTGCTCCCCACGCGCCTGGCCAAACCGTAGGCCAGCACTCTCTCTCTCTCTCTTTCATTGGCCAGCGCCCACATGCACTTGAAGCGCTGCACCTGTGGCTCGCTCTCCACCTGGTCGATGGGTCCCACGCACGCCTTAAAATAGGCAGCAAACACAGTACCACGAAGCTTCCAGGCGCTGCCTCTCCACTTCCCAACGCGGTCCCTCTTTCTCGCTCGCTCTTGCGCGCCTTCACTCAGCGGCAGCGGCCCAGCATACGGCTAACGCGCGCGCGCACAAGCCAGACGACGGTCCGGCGGCCCAGCTGGCCACCGCAGCAGACCCACGCCCCTTACGCTCTCCAGAACCAGCCCAAGGTCCAGCAGCTCAGCCCAAACACCTGCGCCTCCAGCTAACTTGGTCGACGGGCCTGGCCCAGAAGACAGGCGCACACACGCACAGACCCTAGCTGTAAGCCAACAGCTGCAGCCCTTTTCTTTTTCTATATCACCCTTTCTCAAGTGCTAACTTTTTCCCAAAATGCTAAAACATAATTAGCACCTCCGAAAGATTTTCCCTTTTTATAGTACGACTATCTATCCTAAACCTGGTCAAACACTTCTCTACTCAACTTAGACTGGTGAAATGAAATGCCCTACAAATATACCTTTGCCTTGCGCATTCTATTTTATCTCCTCCAATGTTGATGCAACACATGCACCAACCAATCACAACTGATATGATCCACTTTATATCATCATGTGACCATATTGGTTCATCGATCTTGACTTCACTTGCTCTTTATCATTGCTTCGGTCCATCGGCACCAAGTCATTACTCAACCTGTCCTTCACACTTGCAACCGATCCATCAAGCCAAGTCTTGTCTTGTTCTTCTCCACATTAGTCACATGACTCAATGTCTTGTCTCATATGCAATGAGCTTATTCCTCACATGTGTGAGCTTTGTAACAAATCCAAGCCATCTTCACTGTCATGGCTTGAGTTGCTCACGCAAGTGTACCTATGGACTAATCACCTATGTATCTCACATTTAAACACATTAGTCCACCTAGGTTGTCACTCAATTACCAAAACCAAACTAGGGACCTTTAACTAGCGCATGTTGCAAGAGTATGTTTCAAGTGTTTCAGATGTTTCAGAGGTATGTTGCAAGTGTTGTATATCGATATTACAAAAGTAGATCGGAATGTTGCACATGTTGTAATGGCTATACACGTATGTTTTAAGTATATGTTCCAAATATTTCATCTGTTCTAGACGTATGTTGCAAAAGTAGATCTGAATGTTGCATATACATGCATGTTGCAAGAATATATTTTCAAGTGTTTCATACGTATGTTTGCAAGTGTTTCATCTGGATGCTGCATATGTTTCCAATGGTTTTCAAATATTTTTTAGGCATTTTCGTAAGTGTTTTAGATGCTTGTTTCAAGTGTTTTATCTGTCTTTTTTTTGTATGTTGTAACTGTTGCATCTGCATGTTTCAAAAGCAGATCAGGTGTTGCATATGTGATGCACGTGGGAAGCGACTAGCAGCATGGGCGATGTCCGAGGCGGCGCTGGCCCACTTTTGGTGCGCTCGCTCATGAGCCCGACGCGCTAGGCGCTCGCTCCCTCCTTGTGCGGGTACCGTCCGGATGCTAGCACCCAGATCGGACGTCCAGGCACTAGCAAGTCCGTTTTGTTTATGTGATTAAAAGTAAGTGCAAAGAGTGTTCAATTAATATCCTCCACCTCCATTGAATTTGAAATAGTTCTCTTCAACACATGCATGTTGACATGTATATTTGCTAGTATTTTGAAATAAAAAGAAAGAAGAGCGTGTACAAAAAAGGAAAAAAAACAAAACAATGATTCTAGGAGTCTAGCCAGCCACTAATGCTAGGGAAACAACTCTTAAAATGGTCAGGCTAGCACTCGAACATCCAAACAGGGGCTAGCATCTGGACGTCCGTGCCTGCTGCGCCTGCCCACACCGCCGCGTACGCATGCTACTATGCTCGCCCGCACGACTACGCCTGCTTCACGTGGGGGCCCACGCCGCTCTGTTTCCCACGCTTACGTGCGCCCACGCGGGGGCCATGTCTCGATTTTCACCCGCTCTGTTTCCTAGGCCTGCCGCTCGCGCCCCCTCCGCTCCCACGTGCATGCAAGCGGGCCCAGTAGCTGTAGCAGGCGGTTGCGGCAGGTAGGTCCCACTACAACTTGTGCAACACCAGATTTGCTTTTGCAACATCTAAATGAAATATTTTGCAACATATATCTGAAAAAGTTGAAACACTTGCAACATACGTCTGAAACAACAGAAAAACACATGTGTAGCCATTGCAAAACATATGCCACATCCAGATGAAACACTTGCAACATACGTCCGAAATACATGAAATACTTGAAACATACGGTTGCGACTTGCATGTATATACAATATCCAGATGAAACACTTGCAATATATGTCTAAAACAGATGGGCCATACACTTGAAAACACCATTGCAACATGTGCAACATCCCGTTCTACTTTTACAACATCGATATAAAGCACTTGCAAAATACATCTGAAACATTTGAAATATGCGGTTTCAGCGCAACATCTCCTTGCTGCTTGGGAGAATAGAGCCTCGTCAGCGTGTGGAGTTCCATCCCGGCTATCGCAAGCTGCGCGTGGGTGGGTTTCGCCCCAGCCATGACGAACTGAGTAAGCGGGCACGGGATGTGCATAGGCGGGCTCTGCCCGGGCTACCGTGAAGTGCACGTGGGCGAGCTCCACACTCGGCCGCGATGAGCTGGGCAGGCAGAGGCGGAGGTCTTCCTGGCCGCCAACCAGGCATTCGACCCCCGTGGTGGAGGTGGCTGCGGCGGTCGGGCGGCTTCGGTCTCCCTCTCCATGGGCGAGTGGTGGTCGGGTAGCAGCGCCGATCAATCGGTGGGTTTGCTGCCCGCATCGAGCGGCCCTAGAGGCGGAGAAGTCGAGCAAAGGTCGGGCGGTGCGGTGGAGCCGGTGTGAAATGGGGAAAAATGTCGCTCTCTTGGTGAGGGGAGCAGGCCCGTGGGCCCGTCCGCAGGCTCAGCTAGTAGCGTCCAGACGCAGGACGGACGCCCATGGTGGAGCATTAGCGCTCTTAAAAGCATAGCGAACTCATGTTTGAAGAATATCCAAAACTGTTATCATCACAAAAAAGCTTTTGGAAAAAAATAACTTAGAGCAAAAGCTTCCACCATATCATTCGAATACAACTTATAATATGTTCAAGATGTAAATTGGGCTGGTTTTGATACTTGAGGGTGCAAACAAGATGTTAGAGTTGTGAGGGCCGTTTTATTCTCCTTTTTTCTTGCCATTTTTCTGAGTGTGTCTATTCGATTTTGTACACTATATTCGGTCGGATCATCCAATATACTCCCTCCTCCCTGTTTTTGCTTCCTGAGAATTTTTTTAACTAAATATATAGAAAAAATATATTAATATTTATGATATATAGTTAATATCATTTGATAGGTCATTGAATCTATTTTTATAATAAATTTATTATGTTGCTAATATTTTCTATAAATATAATTAAATTTATTGACACGTAAACTGTCACGACGATGTCCAGGGACAGAGGGAGTATCTCGCCAATTCGGCCCGGCCCATGAGAAATGACTGTCTGCAAGCCCCACCTCACGTGCCGTGGTTCCACCAACCGCGGGGAACGACGCTAGCTGCTGGAAGAAGGGAAGCCGCGTCGAGTTCGAGGGGCGGTAGCCGGCGGCCGGCGCCCGGCGGTGTAGCGGAGGAGGGTGACACAGCAGCCTAGTATTGCGTCGTGCGGCGGAGGGGGCTCGGCAGCAGGAGACTGCAATTGGCGGGTAGGCAGCTGTCGCTATCGATGGAAAGTGAGGTGAGCGTAGGGGGAGTTTATCATTTTGTTTTCTACTAATTCTACGACGTTTTTACTAAGGGGCCATTGTTTGTTAACTCGTTGCTGTATCCTCAGGCGCAACTCCCTCCGTCCCTAAATAATGATCGTTTTTTATTTTCATGCTGTATATTTAACTAGATTTATAGAAAATACGTGTAACATTTGTATCTCTAAATAAATTTATTATAAAAATAGATTCAATGATCTATCTAATGATATTAATTTTATACTTTATTAATATTTTTATATATATGTAATTAAAGTTATTTATTAGGAAGTGAAAAAGACAGTTATTTAGAGATGGAGGGAGTACTGTCTTATTGCTTTGTTTAATAATTACAGCAATAGATGATTATATTGACGTACGTTTGATAACTGTCTTGTTTGCATATATGCAATTCTTTCCCCCTGTCTGAAATGCAGGGATGCTCATCCCTACGTGCAGTCCTGCAGGGGCAGTTTGAGGAGGTTGAAGTGACTGGGTAGATTCTGCGGAGTGGTGTCATGAAAATTGAAATTTTGATTAGATTGACTTGTCACGGTGCAACAAACCATTGATTGGTGCTCCATGAGACAAAACTTCTGGACTTGTTTGCACTCGCAGAACTTCAAACATCAACGCGGCCTGGCTCATTTATCTTTGAAACTAAACTTGAGCCACGTGGTTGCCTATACTAGTTTTTATCTCCCCTATATGAGTTACGAGTGAACTAAGATAAGTCGATGTTGTCAGCCTATTGTCACCTTATTGTTCAGTGTTCAATCTCATGCTTTAATTCTGTGTATCATTGCTGTCTCCATTTTCTTCTCTGTCTTGATTGTGCCCATTTCCTCGTTGATTCTGGTCATCTAGTTCCGTCCCTTCATTTTGTAGATATTGTTTGTAGTTATTCATCAGAAAGGATGCAAAAAGGCAGCAGGTAGTCACAAGCCCAGTCACGAGGAATAACCCTCCAAAACTGTCAAAAGTTATAGCACCTGAATTGTCAATATTATCCTCATTTTGACAACTGTTTTTTTTCAATCCATTTCTTTTCGAGTCGAATGATAGTATCATTTCCTGTTATGTTGAGGATCTCCCTTGTTATGTCAGCACGTAATGGTGATTGTTTGGGAAGTGCCTGGTCACCAAATAAAATTTCTTATTAGCTTGAGCATACTAAAATTTGAAGAATTATACAATTTATCTGACTCAGTACAAACCATATAAATAATTTTCTGCAATTTATTTCCTTGCTTCACCTTGTTACTGGCAGGGATTTGTTTTCTTAGAATTGTATCCAACCGCTATGAAGGTCCTTGAGCTATTAACAACCATTTTGTTTATTTGTGTATTCCCTTTTCTAAATATGAAGACACATATTGCAAGCATTTCATATATAACAATATTTTGTAGGATGGAATGTATAATTTAGTGCAGATTATGATAATGTTTGAGTGTTAGATTTTCTAGAGTAGCTTTGTAGTAAATCTTTTGTAACGTTTAAGATATACATCAAAACCAATTCAATAACTAGTGTAGTAGAGCTTACAAATGCAAAGCCTGCACTCTTGTAAATAGGTCCAACCATTGTATAACCATTGCAGTACTTCTCAAGAAACAATTTGATGTATGGGACTTCAAGAACGAGCACATCCACACCACCTTTTTTGCTTCCATTAGAAAGAGCACTGTGGAGTTCATCAGGCGTATCGAAGGGTTTTAACTTTGATCCGTGAAAACCGATATCTTCCAATAGGCCCTCTATGTAGGAACCTCGGTGGAACCCTACATACGCTCCTTGCTTCTGGAGTTCATGAATGTCAGTCACTGCTGGTGAAAGTTGCTGTACAGTAAGCATCGATGCAAAGTTTGCTGTGTAGCTCGATGTAAGCACCAGAAATATGAACATCCATACAAGTAGAACTATTTGAGCTAGAAAGCATTCCAGCTTGTCCCCTGCAGATGAAACAAACAAAAAGGTCATTTCTGTGATACACCAAGTCAACTTGCAAAGCTGTGGTTAAGAAGCATATGCCACAATGGGACTTCCCACAAACCAGTTGAAACATCTGTTTCTTTAGGCAATAAATCCAAGTCTTGATTCATTAGGACTACTGCATTTGTTATCATTTTGTTTTTTGTATGCATACCTAAGACTTGTTTTTTCCCGAAAGTAATGACTACCTTTTTATCGACTACCCAATGAGTCATAGAGGGTGTTCTTTCTGAAACCTATGCGCTTAATGAAATTTCTTGCTGGAATTTTTTAGTGCTTCTATGCTTTTTGTGATAGATAAGCCTAGTGCTAAAGCATTTGTATCTTACTTTTCTGCACTTTTACTTTCCTTGGCTTCCACGCCTTGTTTTAGGAATATGCTCAACATCCACTTTAGTGGTTAGAATATGCTGGAGCAAGTAGAGAGTCCCTCTGCCTATAATAGCAGGGGCAGTGCTATTGTAGAAACAACTCCATTGCTTTACAGTTCCAACAAGAGGCCAAGGGCCCAGCTGCCCTCTGGTTGTTCCCAAATCTGAATCTGAGATCTATTTGGACCAACATTTTGAAGTGGTTTAGTGCATGCTTTATCTATGGGAACTATGCATTAAACTTAATGGCACTAATTTCTATGGGTTAAAAAAATTGTATGGATCAACAAAGTAAGTTCGGAATAACATTGTTTAAGTTACTTAACTCCCTTCTGATATGGGGGAAAACATTATGATTCCAAGCTGTTTAGCTGAAAAGAGATCTTGTAGGTGTCCATTTCCATTTAGGCGCTCTATCAGCCAGATAGCAACTCCTGTATAAATAAAGAATATAATGCTCCCAAACCACATCCCTTTGCTTAGCGGTTTCAAGAAAATCCACCTGTCCTTGTTCCTTTTTTCATTCAATGGAACAACCATCGCCACTCCTGACTCTGTGTATGGGACTGTGAAGTCGACATACAGTGTTCTGTTGTATCTGATTGTTATATCTCCAATTGCTATGTCATATCTCTGCAATGGGATTAGTTAGTTGCTATTTAAATTGTGGAATTAAAAAGGAAAATCTACTTATTATGTGATGTACTGTTATGAAGTGAAAATAATAGGCTGATTATGGTAGTAGTGGCCACATTAACTATAAGATTATTCTCTGCCTTAGCGTAGCTCATGGCTGTGTATATGTAGTGCTGAAAATCAGAAAAAGGCTAAGCAATTTTCCAGCCACCAAACCTACTGTGCGTGTGTGTTCTTGTGTGAGTGAGTTCCTGGGAGACCTGTTAGGGCTTAGGCCTTTCATGAAGTACTGTGCTGCAACTGATTCAATGGTATATGCTCGTTTGTTGAATAAAGGAAAATGATTTGTGGTCAATTCTTTGAATGAAGGGAAAATAATATGTGGCCAAGTTATCTGTTGAATAAAGGAAAATAACTAATGCTCAATTCACCTGTTGAGTAAAGGAAAACAATTAGTGGTAAATAGATATTTTATTTATTTTGAGAAATACTGAAACAAGCCTTTCTAATTTATTTCATTTTAATAAATTAAAGTAGCAGCAAGTTTTGATTCTGGTTGAAAAAAGAATAGAGTTTGAAAAACAGGAAGCAGCTTGTCTAATGTTTGAAACTCTAGAGTATCTTTTTTGCATTGTGATATACACAAATTTTCTGTTGATTTTTTTTTTCAATAACATCTTTACAGTTGGGGCCTCCCCTGCTGTATTTAATGTTAAAAAAAAACACAATTTTTAGTTACTTAATTGGAAGATTAAAGAAACTGATGGTATCTTTCATAAATTATTATTCCTACCTGAAGATAAACTTGGTAAACAAAGTCATCATAGCTCCCTGTACTTTGTGTGTCAGCTGAGTCAAATAATTTGTAATCATAATCAAGGCCAAGCCTCTTTGCTGCCTCCTCAAATATATCTACTGAAAGGCCACTTGCTGTTGTTTTATTCGTGGCAGGATCTTTTGATGCCCATATAAACTCTGGGTTTACACTTGTCCGCACACCAACCATGAGCTTGTTACCATTTGCAGGAATTTCCCAGCCCCTTGGTATTTCTGTTGACTCTCCTGGCCAAATTATTGGGTTTAGATCAAACATTGATAGTGGACCTGGTACATTTAACTTCCGAGAAAGCCCGTTTTTGGAAGTCCAAAACCCAATCTCTCTCCAACTTCCTCCAACAACATTTATTATCTGTAATGAAGAAACTTGCAGCTGCCTATCTGTAAGGTCAAAGTCTCCGCTCAAACCTCTAAATTTGTTCTGTACAGTTTCTGTTAGGAGTCCTGGACCATTTGTGGAGACAGCCAGTGATTCCAAGCATGTAGAGTTTTTACTGGACTGCAGTCTCTTATTTTTTTTACTCGATGTACCAACCTTCTCTGTTGCCTGTGCTAATGCCCAAACTGTATCATATCCCCATAGACCAACAACACTTAGTTTATTAAATGGCAATTCATTTGGGTTTTGTTTCTGGTACATTCTGTTCCATCTTATGGAAGAACTATCAAGTTCTTCCGTTCTGGGGACATGAAACCTTACTCCTATTACCCCATTCATTGCCTCAATGACAGATGGATTGAGTGAGTCGATGATGTTTGCTAATCCATTTGTAATGATCCATACAAATCCTTTCCCCATCATTCCTTCCTCCTTAGCCTTTGTAAAGAGAAGGGATGCCCTGGTCGATGACATATGAACAATGAATACCCTTGTCTGCATCGCCCTTAGCTTATAGAGCTCTTGCATAATGTTTTCTCTTGTTGCTGACAAAGAGATAACACTACAATATGGAATACGAGCATCTATTTGTTGTACATCATCAATGAGGTATGGTAGAATGCCCCTCCCATATTCGGTATCGTCATATACTAGCACGACCTGTCTCCATCCATGGGCTTTGATGACAGAGGCAATACTCTTCACTTGAACTGAGTCGTTCAATGTTGCACGCACGAAATATGGCATACTATCATAAGTGAGAGAGGGGCTTGTTGCTGTGAACGATACAATAGGTACTTGTGTTACACTCCCAAGTTTTGATATAAATGCAGCTTCTGATGATTTCTGCGGGCCAATTATTGCTTGCACTTTGTAATCCTCCAGCAATTGAATAGCTTTGGAATTGAATAAAAAAAAGGAAACGTTTGTCAGATAATATCAGAGAAACAAATTTTCAAGGTCAGGAGAGAACAGAAGTGAATGTTTGGTCATCTGTCTATGTTAAGGTCTTTAATCTAGAGCTCAAGACTTGCAACTGATGTCCAGCCTCATGTATTTGCCCAAGTGAAATGCAGTTTCGTCTAAGTGGCTGCTAGTTAGTATGGGTCTTCTATCACAGTATATGCTATTTGGGTTAGGATGGATTCTCATTTTCCCTTTTAAGAAAAGATTTTAATTTTTGTGATTGTATAGGATATATTAGCCTCTTTAGTAGACTATTTGTAGAACTACGTCAATCCATATCTATGATTTTCTTCAATCAGAATGGAACCTCTATCTATTTCTATGATTTCCATGGACCCGGTTTTTGTTCTCCATGACTAATTGTTCCTAACTGTACAGATGAAAATGGAAGAGAAGTTCTACCTTGTCACATCTGGTGGGGTTAGAGATCAGCAGATGATGAATGTTTGGAAGTGTAGCATGTGTAGTATCCCTTTAAAGGTGAAGATTTTTGTTTGGATGTGGCTGCTCATGACAGAAATCAATCGGGAGTTCAGATAAAGAAGAAACAGTGGTCTAGCTCCGTTCGCTTCGCTGAAAAAACAAGCCGAAATACTGTTCCGGCTGATTTGTTGTGAGAGAAAAATACTGTTCCGGCTGAAAAAATAAGCTGAAAGCGGCAGAACTTCCTAAAGGTACGGGAATAGACCCCGACCCCCGCGTCGCTCCCCCACGCGGGGCGACTCGGGCGGCCCCCGCCGCGTCGCCCCCTCTCACGCCTCTCCTCTCCTACCGCCGGAGTTGACCGCTGGCATGGCCGCCCGGCCGGCCGTGATGGTGGCGGTGGGGCTCTCCCTCCCTCGTGTTGGCAGCGCTGCTGCAGCAAGCCGGGGTTCCGGCCCTACGCGACCGGCATGGAGGTTGACCGGATGGTTGCCGCGGCTGCAGCAGCGCCGGCTGGTGTCTGTGCGGACACAGGGGACGACGGTGAGGTCCTCTTCTTCTCCGTGTGTTGCCCTCCTCCTCTCTTGATGGCAGCGGTGGCGCTGGCTGGGGCTACCGGTCCGGGGCCTGGACAACCAGATCCGCACCCCAGGCGGATGCGGCGGTGGCCGAGGCCCGTGCATGGGTTGGGGGGAGGCGCTTTCTTCTCTGCCGTCCCTCCCCTCACGGCCTTGGCTGCTGCGGCTCAGGGGCTGGCTATGGCCGGGGCGGCAACCTCTGCTGGTTAGCCTGCCCGTGGCGGCCAATTTGGTGGCCAAGGCGACGGGCTAGCCCAGGACAGCGTCTGTGGCTGTGGTCAAGATGGAGGCGGCGGCGTCGGTAGGGGGCGTCGGGTTCGGGGCCTGGCATCCGGATTCGGCGGCCCTAGGGCATGGGGCGGCGCCCGAGATGGTGGGACACACGCCCTGTGGCTGCTAGGGGCTATGTCGGTAGCGACATCGGCGGGTGCCAGAGCCGATGACGTTGGTCAAATGTGGCCTCGGCATGTGGCGGTATGACGCGAGCTGCGGAGTTAGGTCTAGCTCTGCATGTCCCAATCGGAGGGGGTGGCAGCCGACACAGCTGTGTGGCTGCTACGTGCAGCCGACGCGTCGATGCCTCTCTGAAGGGGCTTTCATGGGGTGGCGGGACAACGACGATGGTGGTGAAGGCTGGCAGGGGGTCTAGCTTCGCGACCCTGCGATTGTGCTAGATGGTTCTTGGCTGAAAGCCTTGGCGACGGTGACGCCATTGGGCGCCACTTCTTTGTTGGGGGCGTCGTGTTTTTCCACTAGCATGTTTTTCAAGGGTGAAAACCTGGTCCAAAGCATCGTGTTTTCCCACTAGCATGTCTTTCAAGGGTGAAAACCCGGTCTACTTTGGACGTGCAACGGTGAAGCCATCGGCGTCACTCCCTTCCTGAAGGCGTCGCATTTGGATTATCATCGCGGTTCCGATGCGGGGCGATGGTGTTAGATTTAATGTGGGCCAAGCCCAATATTTTATTTAATTAGATCGATTAATTCTAAGACCCGTATTAAATATTGTGCGCTATATGATTTAGTCACATACGGGATTTTTTATTGAATGTTGACTCGACTTATATGTGGGGACTATGTCTATCTACATTGAGAAGTTGAGAAAAGAATGAGCCACATGAGCATGCGGTGCATGAATTGGTTTTATCATTTAAGCCAATTATGGGCAGAAGTTTCTATTCCTAAATGAGGGAGTTACAGGTGTTTCTGCTCCTAATGGCATGGTAGGGGTTACGGGAGTTTCTACTCCTAACGACGAGAGTTACGGGAGTTTTCGCTCATGAGGATGGGAGTTTCTTTTGTGAGCGTCTCTTTCGCTTCTGACTCTTGATCTCTTGTGGTTGGCTGCGCCCGCTCTGCTCCTTGGCTACAACATAAAAGCAAGACAACATTTAGTCTCTTGTCTCTCTTATATGCGCAAGACATCCATGCTTCCGCTGCAACAAGTCTCCTCGTCCTAGTTCCTGCGAGCACGAGAATAGGGAGAGCAGGCCTTCGAAACCGAGTCGTTTGTGAGTTTATCTGCTCGGGTGAAGGGCGGCCATCATGTTTTTGGGGAGCGATCACGCGACTGCTCGATCGATCCATGACCCATGACTTCATCTTCTTCCTGGTGTTCGTGGCGGCGGTGGGAGATCGACACTACAACCTCTCTGCACTGCATCGAGCGGGACGACTACTCCAACATGCGCTATGTCGACTAGCACAACTGGCTCTGGTGCCATTGGGTATGTTCTAAATCATCCCCTATTTTCAGCAATTAAAATCATGGTTATTAGTATCATCTATATGTTCATGTCACTTAGATCACATGT